CTGACTGTAGGGCCCCATCCCTGGCGCGCGCGGAGCGCACCAGGGGCGGCGCCCCAGGTGCCGCCAGGGAGGCACAGCGCCGATTAAAAAGAATCTGCGCGGGCCTCCGAAAGCTCACGTTTATGCCGAGATATGAATTCTTCGAGGGGTGGCCCTGGCCAGGTGTGCTGGTGGTGAGCCCAGACATCTGGCCAACGATCAAAAACGGGTCCCGCGCGAGATGACGTAGCGACCTGACGCGGCGGTTTACGCTGGCTGCCCGCGCGGCACGCTGCACTGGCAACGAGAGCGATTACGAGCGAGCTTACGAGGGCAGCTTACTCGCCAATGTCGGCGCAAACTACCCCGTTGTTCTGCGTCGCCCATCTGGTTTTTGTAACTATTGGTCGGGTTTTCCGCCTGAATAATTTATGTGACAACCCTGGAGCCCGAAACAGGCCCCCGAAAGGTCGAACACTACGAAAGAAATAGATACAACCACCTGGTATTCTCAAGAAACTGAATGTCGGAGCCCACGCGCAATCATCGGGCCCAGGGTGGCCCTGGTGCTTTTTCCCCAATTAGGCTTGCCTAATGGGTGTCTTACTTGGTTAAAGGTTGGTGCCTCGGGAAGCTACTTTGCCCGTTCCTCGGAGGTTCCCGGGTTCCTCGGGTTCCCCGGGTTCCTGGGGTTCCTCGGGTTCCCAAGGTTCCCCGGGTTCCTCCGGGTTCCTCGGGTTCCTCCGGGTCCTCGGGTTCCTCGGGTTCCTTGGGCACCCCGAGATCATCTGGTTCCCCGGGTTCCTCGGGTTCCCCAGGCAACGCCAATCAATGCCAGGCAATGACAAGCAATGCCAAGCCATGCTCACCACTGCGCCCATGCAGTAAGATACTTTTCCCGTAACTGGGGTCGCGCCGGGTTCGTGTCAGAAGTTTGGCACGCCCAACATAGGTCATCACAGAATATTGCGATGATGTCCCACAGCAGCATGTTGTCCCAAACCGACGGCGGTGTTTGTTTCGAATGGACGGGCGTCCGCGGCGACACCGCCAGCGAGCCCTGCTCAAGATGAACAGGAGCTGCTGTCGGCCTTCGTCCCCACTCTTTCCGTGCCCATCTCGATCGTGCCGACTGCGGGGCAATGATACGAGGTGACTGGCCCAGGCGGGAAACGTCGACCTCGAATCGACGATACACCGCCGACAGATCGGAGACAGGCCGTGCATAGCACACCCGCACGGCCCTGGCTGGGGTAGGCTATCGGGCCACTATCGGCGATCGATGGGCGTTTGGGGGATCGATGCCTTTCCCCTTGCGTAAAACAGGGCTAGGATCGGGATAAATCGCTCCAGAGCGTTCCGGAGCGCTCTCAGAGCGTTCCGGAACGCTCTGGAGCGACCGCGGCGCCCAATACATCCTCCAAACCCGCCGATTCTCAGAGATCTCGAGTTATCCCGATCCGATTTTGTCCCGATCTTCGTGTCGTTTTATTGCGCCTGTCCCCCCCCAACGTTGCCCTGACCCTGGTCCTCGCCCCCTTGGTGGTTTTCGAAGGAGTCTCGAAGCATCACTCGGGCCTCCTGCGGCCCCTTGGAGACGACTCGGGCGCCCCCCGAACGCCCTCGGCGAGAAGCAGCTGCCGGAGGGAGGCTGGAAAACCGCCGAGAACGCCCGAAAGCCTCGAAGCTCGAAACGCCCTCCCCCCCCCAAAACAAAAAAAAAAAAAAAAACGCCGAGGAATGCCACAGAAACGCCGAGGCGCCCCCGAGAATGCCCGAGGCTGCCCGTAAGCCTCGAAACAAACCCCCCTCCCCAATCGTTGCCCCTAACCTCGGGGGCTGCCAATAGGAGGGCGTCCAAGAGGGGAGGGGGGCGCAAATCATGGCCGGCGGCACGTGCGCGGCCCAGGGGGGGGGGGGGGCCGGGAATGCCAAGAAGTAAGAAGAGGCGCCGTGAAATCTGGGGAGACGTCATGGCCCACGCCATGATATCCACACCCCCCCATCTAGTCTTATGTTGTTCCCTTCGTACTTCAGGACCACCTCCCGGAAATAATTTCGAGCACCCGGAAAAGTGTCAAAAGAGTATGGAAACAGTGTCGAAACAGTGTCGGGCGAGTGTCCCCCAGGGCCCGACGCGTGAAAACCCTTGAGTTTCGGTACTTCTTGGGCACTCGAGATTATTCCTGGTGGTCAGGGCTGAAGTAGGTTGGAGCATCATAACTCTAGTCTTAAGTCGGGCCTGTCCCCCTACAGAGGGATTTTCGACGAAAAATAAAAAAACCTAAAAACTAATCCAAAATAGTCAAAACATAGTCCGGGACTGTTTCTCGACTACTTTTTGGCCACCTTGGAGTATTCTTTGAGCATGTTTTATTTTTCGTCGAAACTCCCCCCTGTAGGGGGACACGCCCGACCTAACCCTAGTCCTCACCCCCCGGGCGCCCACCGAACGCCCTCGGCGAGCAGCAGCTGCCGGAGGGACGCCGAGGCTGGAAAACCGCCGAGAACGCCCCGAAAC